ACTCTGGGGCAGAGTGCCCCAGGTGCATGTCTCCCGGCAGGCCAGGCCGTGTGCTGGTCCCTGAAGCTCCTTGGAGTGGGCCAATGGGAGGAGCCCGCTTGGATGGACGCCCAGGTTTCTCTGGCAACGTTGGGCGGGCCTCTATCCTGGCCTCCCGCCCTACCTCCCCTGTACCTGGAGGCTCAGGGACTCGGGTCCCTGCGGTCTCTGGCGGCTGGCCTTTGAACAATGGCTGCTGCTTGGAGCTCTCCCACCGACAGAGAGGCCTGGAACCTTCCAGCTGGTGAGTATCTTGGGGGCTCTACCTGAGCCCCAGACACCTGGGGGTGCAGGGGAGGGGCAGGCTGCGCCAGCAGGACAGCTGGATGGGGTGGGGGCACAGAGCTCAGGAGGGGTCTTAGCCTCTCCTTCCACCACGGACTTGGCTGGGTGCAGACTAGTCGCCCCTCCAATGTTCTGCTCCCCCAGGGAGGGGCCTTCCTGTCTAGGGGCTCCTTCTGAGGGCTTGGGACGTCCTCAGGGAGCAAAACCAGGCTGCTGGGTAGTGGGATGCGCTGCCTGTGGGTCTTGCTGCAGGGCTGGCACTCAGTTGCCATCTGAACTGTCCCCAGCTTCCCTGTCTGTGAAGCGGGGCTGATGGTTGTTTGTGTGTGTGGTCCTGCCTGGTGGGTCCGTTACCCTACAGTGAGGCCAGCTCCGCAGGGCCCCCTGGGCTGTCCCCTTCCCCTGGAAGCCTCCCATCAGGAGTGAGTGAGAGGTCAAGGCCCTGGCTGGAAGACCTGTGTCCATGCCCCCCAAAAGCCATGGCTTTTCATTGACTCTTCTGAGCCCTTGAGGATGGTTTTGTTCCCCAGGGTGAGGGTGTCTGTGTCCATAGGCAGCTTTCCCTGCGTCGCTGGGCACGCCTAGTCCAGGGGAGCAGGGCCGAGTGCAGGTCTCCGCTCTGTGTTGGGCCCTGGCATCTTCCTCGGGGGAGGACCCAGGCCACCCAGGGAACATGCTGGACACAGGGCCCAGCCCTGGGTGGGACACCCCACGTGGTGGCCAACTGAGGGGACATTGCTCTTCACAGTCAGAATACTTGAAGGATTCCAGGCCCAGGGTCAGGGTGCTGGGCAGGGAGAGCCAGGAGGTGGCAGAGCCTGAGCAGGCCTGAGGGGAGCTCCCTGTGGACTCCTCTGTGGGCCCTGAGTCCCACCTTGGCAAGAGTAGGTGGTGTCTCTGAGGCTCCCTGGGCTGGCTGCAGGCTGGTGTGCCTGTTTGGGTCACTGCACCGTGGTCCTGGTGTCTCAGCTAGGGCTTCGCTGGGGCTGGCTGAGGAGTCGGGGTGCCAGGTGCTGCATTCTTGCAAGTCGCCTCTGCAGCGCCACCACAGCTTGGCTATTTGTCCAGGGGCCCACCTCTGCCCATCTGTCCCGCCAACTTCCATCTGGCTTCCCCAGTGACACCCTCCTGCCAGCCTCCAACCAGCTTTCCCAGTTGCTGGCTCTTGTGTCACCATGTTCCCACCCCTCCATCTGCCACCTGTGCAGCCCCAAGGCCCCTTTGGGGCCCGCTGTCCCTGAGGACTGAGTTGGCCTCTGCACATGGACTGCTGCGGCTGGATGCTCCATGTCCATGTCAGGGAGCAGGGTGAGCTTGGGTCTGCCCACTGTGGGGACCTCTGCGTCCCCAGGGCTGGGTCTGAGTGAATGGCCACTGGGGGCCAGGCCAATGTCCAGGCCTGTGCCAGCTGCTGTTGCAGCCGAGTTCTCTGGTCTTGAACCCTGACCTCAGAGGCCGTGAGCAGGGTGGGACTTTCTCCTTCACGGTCCCCTGGCTCCGTCCCTGAGCCTGCTCGGGCTTGCTCCGGGCTTGCCTTCCTGGAGATGAAGCCGTGAGAAGTAAACAGTGTGGCTACTGAGACCAGAGCTGTTGCTGGAAGGAAGCCCCTCCCCACCGCTGTTGCCCGCCAACCCGTGGACCAGCCCAGGCTGTGGGGGAAGCAGGCCACATGCCCCAGGCATGAATGTCAGTGTGCCCAGCAAGGCCTGGGGCAGTGGGTGTAGTGGTGGGGCGCCTGGTACCAGGTGAGGATCCCCTGGCGGCAGTGAGGGACAGAGGCCACTGTCCTGGAGAGTCACCACTGTGCACGTGCATCCTGGGACTGCACAGTGGTAGGGCCTGGGCTGGGCAAGCACAGAGGTGTCCGGCTCCCTTTTCCTGGCCTGTGCCCAGGACGAGCTGTGCGTCCCTGGTCTTTTGGCGCTTGCAGGGACCCTGCTGGGTGGTGGCGAACATTCTGCACTCTTTCCTGATGAGCAAACTGATGCCCACGGGGCCAGTGCCCTGCCTGGGGTCTCCTGGCCTGTCTGGGAGCTGGGGCTCCCCACTACTGTCTTCCCCCCGAGCCTGGCAGGGGCCCCGGTGCTCCTCCCTGCCCTTCACACCAGCCCTTCGGCCACTGTGGCCCTCCCCGCCAGGTGGTGGCTCTGTCTTTCCTGGCCTTGGGTGCGTGGCTGGGTGTGGAGACTGGGCATCTGACCCTGCTGGGACCCCAGCCCCAAGACTGTGGCTGAGCCTGTGGAACCGAGGCAGGTGTTTCCCCAGGACAGTCAGCACAGGATAAGGTCAGCTGAGCTCTGCACAGTGTCAGCCCACGGGGTGGGCAGATGGGGGTCCGGGCTAAGGTGGGAGCTGCTCTCAGCCCCACTTGCACAGTGACAGTGGCGCAAGGCAGGTGCAAGGCAGGGAGGGGTGGGGAGGGGGAGGGCGTGTGCAGGGCTGGGGCCTGCCTGTGGGGGCCGCCCTCCCAGCAGCCCTCCCGGAGCCTTGGGGGGAGCCACAGGGGTCAGAGCTGACACAGCTGCTGGCAGCCACTGGCCGTGGCCCAGCTCTGAAAACCATGGTCGCTGCCGTGGGGCAGGAAGGGGGACTGGTGGGGCAGTAGTGGGCTCCGGGCAGAGGGTCACGGGCCGGGAGAGGGAGGGTTCCAGAAGGCCTCCGGGAGCCGAGTCTGAAGCCGCAGGGAGCTGCCCCAGCGTGCGAGGGAGGAGGGGAGGAGGCCCAGTGCTTGGCCGACCCCCAGGAAGACCTCCATGCTTGCCGGGCCACTTTCCCGGCTTGCGGTATCAGCAGAGCAGCGAGGCTGACCGCCCGCCGCATGTGTGGCGCAGCTTCTCCCTGGAGCTGTGGCCCGGCTGACTGCACGGTCTGCCTTCCCACCCGCACCCCACTGCCCCGTTTGGGAGAAGCTTCTCAGCTCAGCCTGATTGTCACCCCCATGCAGCCCTGGGGCAGTTCTCTAGGATGGCTGACCACTTGCAAACATCATAAGGAAACGCACAGTGAGATCTGCTGCATTTCAGCTTCGCCGGGTGACGTCCCCAGTGGAGCAGGCGAGCCCGGACAGGGCAGGACTCCTGGCCAGGTGGACGAGGCGGAGCCCAATGGCAGCTGTGTTGCTGCCAGCAGGGGGACATGGCCACAGAGGTGCGTCATCGGTGTGGGCCACCAAGTGTGGTTGAAGACTGTGTGGTCAAAGGCTGGCTCTGTGGTCTGAGGCACCCATATCCTTCCCCTCATCCCCATAGAAGAAAGGCTGGTGCAGGGTACAGCACCCCACATTCCAGGAAGGGCCAGTCCCTGAGGTGACTTATCCCTCCTTTTGGTGGCTAAACATGGGGCTGTGTCTGCTGTGAGCAGGACTTTATTGGGCTCAGAGGCCTGCCCCCTGCCCTGCCTGGTGGCAGCCATCTCCTGACATCCCTGGTTCCCCAGGACAGGTTCTTTAAAATAAGCCTTGAGCCCAGTGCCCCATTCTCCGTGCCTGCCTGGAATTAAGGGGTCTTTTGCTGTGACCCCCCTTCCTCTGGGGCTGCTCTGAAAGGAGAGCCTTTAGGGCAACTCCAGACACAGCATTCATAGCTCCTCAGCCACTCCTGGCTGCTCCTGGGCTCTCTGGCTGGGGCGGGCACACCAGAGGCTCACAATACCCAGGGCTGGGGTGGGGTCTCTGGTTGCCCAAGGTTACACTGCTGCCTCTGGGCGGGGCTGTGATTTGAGCCAGCTCTCCTCCTCGGGGCACCATGCCTGCGTGTCCTCCGCAGCACTCTGCCTGCAGGGGTCATTGAGAAAGTGACAGGACACCCGCTGGAAGAGGGCAGGGCTGGGCTGTCCCAGGAGCACAGTGGCCAAGGAGGCAGGACTGGGGCTCCTGGGGCTCAGGCATCTTGAGCTACTATGTCTGTGGGCAAAAGGGTGACCCAAGCATGTGCCAGGGGGAGCTGAAAAGCCAGTGCCCATTTCCCGCCCAGCCTCCAAGAAACCAGGAGACAGGGACGTTGAAAGAGGTGGTGATGTTTTGAGTCGGTGCCAGGGCCGCAGCACTCAGTGGCTGTGGAGTGCCGCAGCCCAGCCCCTCTTTCTCGCACTGGGTGCCAGCTGGCCCCACCTGACCCCAGCCTGGAGTTGAGCTCCACCCCTGCCTCTAATTCTTACCCCGGGAGCCCACCCCACACCCCACCTCTCACTGCGCCCCACCCTGGCCAGTTTGCTCCCCAACGTNAGGGAGCTGCCCCAGCAAGCGAGGGAGGAGGGGAGGAGGCCCAGTGCTTGGCCGACCCCCAGGAAGACCTCCATGCTTGCCGGGCCACTTTCCCGGCTTGCAGTATCAGCAGAGCAACGAGGCTGACCGCCCGCCGCATGTGTGGCGCAGCTTCTCCCTGGAGCTGTGGCCCGGCTGACTGCACGGTCTGCCTTCCCACCCGCACCCCACTGCCCCGTTTGGGAGAAGCTTCTCAGCTCAGCCTGATTCTCACCCCCATGCAGCCTTGGGGCAGTTCTCTAGGATGGCTGACCACTTGCAAACATCATAAGGAAACGCACAGTGAGATCTGCTGCATTTCAGCTTCGCCGGGTGATGTCCCCAGTGGAGCAGGCGAGCCCGGACAGGGCAGGACTCCTGGCCAGGTGGACGAGGCGGAGCCCAATGGCAGCTGTGTTGCTGCTAGCAGGGGGACATGGCCACAGAGGTGCGTCATCGGTGTGGGCCACCAAGTGTGGTTGAAGACTGTGGTCAAAGGCTGGATTTGGGGTCCTGCTGGCTCTGTGGTCTGAGGCACCCATATCCTTCCCCTCATCCCCATAGAAGAAAGGCTGGTGCAGGGTACAGCACCCCACATTCCAGGAAGGGCCAGTCCCTGAGGTGACTTATCCCTCCTTTTGGTGGCTAAACATGGGGCTGTGTCTGCTGTGAGCAGGACTTTATTGGGCTCAGAGGCCTGCCCCCTGCCCTGCCTGGTGGCAGCCATCTCCAGACATCCCTGGTTCCCCAGGACAGGTTCTTTAAAATAAGCCTTGAGCCCAGTGCCCCATTCTCCGTGCCTGCCTGGAATTAAGGGGTCTTTTGCTGTGACCCCCCTTCCTCTGGGGCTGCTCTGAAAGGAGAGCCTTTAGGGCAACTCCAGACACAGCATTCATAGCTCCTCAGCCACTCCTGGCTGCTCCTGGGCTCTCTGGCTGGGGCGGGCACACCAGAGGCTCACAATACCCAGGGCTGGGGTGGGGTCTCTGGTTGCCCAAGGTTACACTGCTGCCTCTGGGCGGGGCTGTGATTTGAGCCAGCTCTCCTCCTCGGGGCACCATGCCTGCGTGTCCTCCGCAGCACTCTGCCTGCAGGGATCATTGAGAAAGTGACAGGACACCCGCTGGAAGAGGGCAGGGCTGGGCTGTCCCAGGAGCACAGTGGCCAAGGAGGCAGGACTGGGGCTCCTGGGGCTCAGGCATCTTGAGCTACTATGTCTGTGGGCAAAAGGGTGACCCAAGCATGTACCAGGGGGAGCTGAAAAGCCAGTGCCCATTTCCCGCCCAGCCTCCAAGAAACCAGAAGACAGGGACGTTGAAAGAGGGTGATGTTTTGAGTCGGTGCCAGGGCCGCAGCACTCAGCGGCTGTGGAGTGCCGCAGTCCAGCCCCTCTTTCTCGCACTGGGTGCCAGCTGGCCCCACCTGACCCCAGCCTGGAGTTGAGCTCCACCCCTGCCTCTAATTCTTACCCCGGGAGCCCACCCCACACCCCACCTCTCACTGCGCCCCACCCTGGCCAGTTTGCTCCCCAACGTGGCAACCCCCAGCCCCAGTGCCCTGCTGGGAATGTTGGTTGGAGCCCCAGCAGGACTGAAGGCCTTAGCTCACTGCCACTGAGTGACACAGTGTTATTATGCTGTCACGGGGCCACCTGGAATTCTCTCCCACCCGTCTGAGAGGCAGCTCACTAGAAAGGCCCCCAGGTCATTGCCACCCGTGGTTCCGCAGCGTAGGCCCAGTTTCCACGACCTGCTGCGGGCTTTCCTTGTGGGCCGGGGGGTCAGGACAGGCCAGCACCCGGAGACGGGCAGCAGTCAGCCCCCCTTGAGCAGGGATGAGTGCAAGACTGCAGGCCACGAGGCTGCCCTAGGAAAGCGCCATGTGACCGCAGGGCGGGTGGCGACTGCAGCTCACCTGGCCCTGCCCGTGCTTCAGCCCTGCAGCCGCATCCACCTTGCTCATAGGCATGCTGCCTGCCTGTCTGGGGGAAGGGATGCAGCCCCACCCCACAGATAGCCATAGGCAGTGCCCCCTTTCCTGCAGAGCCCTGGGCAGGCCAGCCATCAGGAAGGCCACTGTCAAGCCCAGGTAGTGTTTGTGCCAACTCCAGGGCAGATGCCATGCCATTCCCTGGAGGGCAGCCAGGCCAGAGGAGTGAGGACGGGGGGCCAGGGGGCTTCAGCTGTCTGCTTTTCCTGAGCCTCAGTTTCCCCATCTGTACATTGGCCTGATGGTGGTGCCTGCTTCAAAGGAATGTGGTCAGGATCTGAGAGAGACTGTCACAGCTCTGCCACACACAAGGGGCCGTGTTATCAGCCCCTTCCACCCATCTCAGTCTGTGGGCGTTCTGAGATA